CCTGAAAGCAATTAAAGGCCTGGCATTTGTTGAAGGAATTATCACGCTACTTTTCATGTGTTTTAGAGAAATTATGACATTGTGGTCATTTTGTTTTAAACACTAAATGTAGCATTATGAGACATCTCAAGCAATATTGCTTTACTTTATGCAGTACATTTGGGCTCAGAGCATGTGTTATGAAGGACTCTCAGCTACTACCACGCCAAATTTTAGTATCAGTCAAACTGACTAAGGTATAACATAAGGTTGATTAGCTGTGATGACCATCTAGCTAATCATTGCTTTTGGAAAGTTGTATAAAATTATCTGTTCAGTTCAGACGAAAAATAAACAAAACAAAAAAAAAAAATCAGAGACACTGACAAACTCCCCTAAGAGGCAGGCGATAGAAATGTAAAAAAGAAATGCCCCAGTTCATTGAGATGCAACCACTGAGTTGCGGATCATCCCAGTCAGAAAAGTCACAGATGTTGTGAAGAGACGAACAGAGTGAAGGCTTAACGGTGACCGCACAAAACTGGGTCTGCACAAACGAGCAACACCCTCAGTAGGGGAAGGCCTAATTATATTCCTGTATTGACTTTAAACTGGGGGAAACAGGTGCTCATCAGGTCGGGAGATTATCTAACAGTCAGCAGGATTAATTCTGTGGAAAGCCTGAGTGTTTGCACAAAAATAAAAATAATCTATTGAATTGCCATTGCCTAAATAGTGCACCAGCTGACCAAGTTTAAAAAAAGTGAAATAAATACATAAATAAAGTAAAGAGAATTTTAATATCTCATAAATAAATAATTTCACCAAAACAGTTGTGTTGAGAGGTGCAGCATGTTGGGAAATGCTGTTCTAATTAATAAATGTACAATTTGTGATGAAGGCTCAGTTCTGTCTTTTGGGAACAGCATCAACCTCAACAAACACACTCGCAAACATTCAGAGGTTTAAAAAGCATCTACTTTGAATTATTGCACTTAGATTGTCATGTATTATTCAGCTTGTTGAGAGTTTATTGTCTTTTTGTGTTTAAGAACAGCATTAGTTACAGTTACGTAAGCAAAGACAGTTTTTTTTCACTGCATTCCCCACATTATTAGTTGATATTTACTTTTTAAGACATCAAGTTAAACACAGTATTCACATATTTATACATGCAGACTTGATATTTTTTCACCTAAAGTGTAATAAAAGAAAACCCACTTTATTTAAGATGATAAATTAATCCAGGTTAAGTCATGGGTTCCTCCACAAGGCTATGATGATTTTTGGTGAGGAAAGCTATTTTATATGTAATCTTTTCTGTGACATT